CACTCTACCCAGGGGGATAGCTTGAGGCTCCGTCTCAAAAAAAAAAAAAAGCCTAGCTATTTTTATTTTATTTATTTATTTTGGAGACAGAGCCTCAAGCTGTCACCCTGGGTAGAGTGCTATGGTATCACAGCTCACAGCAATCTCCAACTCCTAGGCTCAAGCGATTCTCCTGCCTCCGCCTCCCAAGTAGCTGGGATTACAGGCACCCACCACAATGCCCGGCTATTTTTTGGGTGCAGCCATCATTGTTGTTTGGGGGGCCTAGGCTGGATTTGAACCCGCCAGCTCAGATGTATGTGGCTGGCACCTTAGCCACTTGAGTCACAGGCGCCAAGACTGCCTAGCTATTTTTAGAGATGGGGGTCTTGCTCTTGCTCAGACTGGTCTCAAATCTGTGAGCTCAGGCAATCTACCTGCCTCAGCCTCTCAGAGTGCTGGGATTACAAGTGTGAGACACTACACCCAGCCAGGAATCTTTATTTAACCCTCACTTTTAAAATAGACTGATGCCTGGATCCCACTGGAGAATTCTGATATAATTGGCATGAAAGGTATTATGATAGTTTTCTATTGTTGCATAACAAATTACCAAAAGTTAGAGACCTAAAACAAAACACATTTCTTATCTATCAGCATCCATGGATTAGGATTGGGCCATTGGGCCATGAGACACAAATCAGGGTCTAACCTGGCTGCAGCTCAGAGTATAGATGTGTTAGATATATAGAAGGTATCAAAAAATGTATACACATTTTATTTTATTATTTATTTATTTATTGAGATAGTCTTACTCTGATGCACTGGATAGAGTGCTATTGCATCATAGCTAATAGCAACTTCAGACTCCTGGGTTCAAGCAATCCTCTTGCCTCAGCCTCCCAAGTAGCTGAGACTACAGGTGCCCAGCTAGTTTTTCTATTTTTAGTAGAGATGGAATCCACCCACCTCAGCCTCCCAAAGTGCTAGGATTACAGGTGTAAGTCATCATGTCTAGCCATATACACAGTTTTAAAAAAGGAAAAAACTGTGTTAAAATTGAAATATTCAAGGGTGGTGCCTGTGGCTCAAGGACTGAGCCCCATATACCAGAGGTGGCGAGTTCAAACCCAGCCCTGGCCAAAAATAATTGAAATATTCAATATATATTGATAACATTTGTTTTCTTGTGCATAGTCTCTTGTATCTCTTATAATTGCAGAAGTCAAATATGGCTTGAATATTATAATTTTAATACAGTTTTTTCCTTCCTTAAAATGTGTACACATTCTTGGCACTCTCTGTAAATGCATAAAGCTATATAGTAGTGTATATACATAAAATATAATCTATAACAAGGTTATAAAGTAATGTATGCAATACTTTTTTTTTTTTAGACGGAGCCTCAAGCTGTCACCCTAGGTAGAGTGCCATGGCATCACAGCTCACAGTAACCTCCAACTCCTGGGCTCAAGTGAGTCTCCTGCCTCAGCCTCCCAAGTAGCTGGGACCACAGGCGCCCCCCACAACGCCCGGCCATTTTTTGGTTGCAGCCATCATTGTTGTTTGGTGGGCCCAGGCTGGGGATTCGAACCTGCCACCTTAGGTGTATGTGGCTGGCGCCCTAGCCGCTTGAGCCACAGGCGCCGAGCCATGCAATACTTTATGTATATAAAACAACATAATCAAGAGAGTGACATCCATCACCCTCATGATCTTCTACCAACAAGAAGCAAGTCACCTTTCTGCCCCCAATCAGAGAGAGGATGTAACTCACAGGGATCACCTTAGATGTGTCTGCCACATGGTGTGACACAGCACTGGGACTTTTCAAAGCTCCCAAGAAAACTTTAATGTGCACCAAAACGTTGTGAACCACTGATTGAGGATGTTTGCTGTCACCTAATTCCAGTGGCAGGTGGTGTCTCCCTCCTACAGTCACTGCCCAGCTCAAGTCAGCCACTGACCAGGAGCCCAGACAAGACCTGTTCACTCCAGGACAATCCCAGAGACACCAGGAGAGGCACAGCAGGCACAGCTGGATGCACAGAAGGAAGTTTAGAGCAAAGGCTGAGATATCCCATGAATTTGGCAAATTATTTCAAAAATTGTCTATCGACATTCTTGTATTCTTAATAAAAGCAATTTCTGTTTAATAAAAAATTAAGAAGCAAAAGGAAAAAAATGTGAAAGAATAAGAGGAAAATACATTAGAAAAACATTGTGATATAGGAATGCTGAAGATACCATTAACAAGGACCCAAAACCTCTTTTCTCAGGGAAAAGACTGAGACATGTGACCATATATAAAGACTTTTAAACAAAGTGAGAAGAAGAACCACAAAGGAGAAAATCTGTTTAAAGTGTAATTGGCAAGTGATCAGCTTCCAAAATCTATAAAGAACTTTAATAAAGAGACAGCAGAGAATGAACTCAGTATTTACACACCCAGGCTAGGACTGCAGAGCAGAGCTTCCAGTGCCACCAAGGAACACTGAGCCTGGGATGGATGCTCCCCTGCAGACTCTAGACCTAGGCAAAGGAGAGAACATGAGTCCTTCTGCAGCCCTCAGAGACCTCCCAACAGCACCCCATGGGTGACCCAGCTCCTGCCCCCCTAGGCTGCACATGGCTCTCCTTTAGGGGGAGTCTAACTCAGCATTTTCATTTCCTAGAAACTGAGGCTCATGGGAGATATGCAGATAAGCCCAAGGCACCATGGGAAATGACCCCTTATAAGCCCAGGCGGGCTGCACTTCCCCCCTCTCTCAGGTATCTACAGGAGTGGAGGCATCGGGACTGGTGAGGGTCTCCCAAGGTCTTGGGAGCCGGCCTGGTGCTGGGTGACAGGTTGAGAGGCCAAAGGGGCCACAGTTGCCCTCCTGGTATAAGAGGCCAGCTGGAGTAGGGGAGGGTCCTGGGATGAGTTTCCCTCAGGGTCTGTTTGGTTCCCTCAGGTTCTCCCAGGTTCCCTCAGTTTCCCCCAGGTTCTCTCAGTTTCCCCTAATTTCTCTCAGGTTCCCTCAGTTCCCCCCAGATTCCCTCAGGTTCCACCAGTTTCCCTTAGGTTCTCTCGATTTCTCTCAGGTTCCTAGATTCCTTCAGTTTCTCTCAGTTTCCCCCAGATTCTCTCAGGGTCCCCCAGTTTCCCCTAGGTTACCTCAGTTTCTCTCAGGTTCCTTCAGATTCCTTCAGGTTCCCTCGGTTTCCCTCAGGTTCCACCAGATTCCCTCAGGGTCCCCCAGTTTCCCCCAGGTTCCCCCAGATTCCCTCAGGTTCCCTCGGTTTCTCCCAGGTTCCCTTGGTTTCCCTCAGGTGCCTTCAGATTCCCTCAGGTTCCGTCAGTTTTCCCCCAAGTTCCCTCAGTTTTTCCCCAGGTTCCCTAGTTTCTCCTACATTCCCTCGGTTGCCCTCAGGCTCCCTCAGTTCCTCTCAGCTTCCCTCAGTTCCCCCCAGTTTCCCTCATGTCCCCAAAGTTTCTCTCAGGGTCCCTCAGTTTCCCTCAGATTCCCTCAGTTTCTGTCACATTCCAGCAGGTTCTCCTAGGGGTCTGTCAGGTCAGGCTGATGAGGTAAAGGGTCAGGCCAGGTGCGGGGAGGGGCTGAGGGACTCGCAGCAGCCGCAGTGCAGTTCAAACTGAGCAGGTCTGCTCCACAGAGCCATCTGAGCCTCACAGCCCACCCCTGCTAGGCTAGGTGACCCCCTCCCACCCACCTGTTAGGGGGCGCCTAACCTCATTCCCTTTGCCTTTTCAGCTCCAGAGATCAAAGCCATTGCAGAAGCTGAAGGCATTTCCAGAAGTACAAACTTTCCAACCTCTACAGGCCTCACTGAGTTGAGGCCCAGTTCATCTATCCCCACCCCAAACCCCTGAACAAAAACCCTTTTTCTGCTCTTTCTCCTTTTTCTCCTCCTCTCCTGCCTCCTACACTTTATCCTTCTCTTCCCTGCCCCTGTGGCCAGACCACCTATAATCCCTAGCAAGTCTTCCTGTTGCTGTGCACTCCAATAGGAGGCAGGCAGCCTGGACATGTGCCCCCCAGTCAGCAAGCGGTATATGGGGGAGGGCATGTCCTACCTCCATGCCTCCTGGTTGTATGATCTTCAACATGGAAACCAGCTAGAGATTTGCTTCTCTTGCTTCAAGGCTGCCTTTCTGGACCTTAAAGACTTGCTGGAGTCAGAAGACTGGGAAGATGAAGACTGGGACCCTGAGCTAATGGAGCACAGTGATGAAGGGCTTGAGCATGAGGGGTCCCCAGAGATGGAGCCAAGCTGGGGGCAGGACCAGTGGCAGCCTGTGCAGGGGGACTCTCAGGCCTTGGGGCATGGGATCCTGGTATCAGGCCCAGAGGGATCAGAAGAGGGAGGCCTGAACCACCACTTTGTGCCCAGTGAGCTAAATCCTCAGGATGCAGTACCCCTGGGCCTGGGCCCTGAGGATGCTGACTGGACCCAGGCCCTTCCATGGAGACTTGGGGTACTTCCTACCTGCTCACACTGGCCATGCTCCCCTCCTCCATGGCAAGGGTTTCTCAAAGTTGACCTTCCCCCAGGGGAGCCCATGGTTTTGGAGTTGGGCACCACCTGGGCAGTGAACCCAGCTGAGGTTGAGGCCTGGTTAATGGACCTGCAGGTTGTCTCCATGGTGGGCTGTTATGATGCCATCTACCTTCGGAAGATGACTCCAGTCTGGGCTCTAAGAACCTCAGGACAGCACTGGAAATTGTTGCTGGAGCCGGAAGAGATATGGGTGGTGAGGTTCCAAGATGCACCCCAGCAGCAGGACCTGCACCAGTGGAAGCTGAGCATTCTGGAATTCTCTCCAGGGCAGAATGAAGAGCTGGTCCCTGCAGACTTAGCCCTGCAGAAGAAAGGATTCACCATTGTTTCTTATTCACCCTGGATGGAAAGGGAGACAGAGGAGGGGGACTCAGCCTGTAACCTTCAGTCCTTTACCCAAGGACAAGGTTCTAGCACCACTGAGACTGGAAGCAGTGATCCCAGGGGGCCGGGAGAAAGCCTGGCTGTTGTGGGAGCCTTAGCTATGGGGGAGCTGCCCTGTTTCCAGCCTTTTAGCCCAGGGCCCCAGAACTGAGGGGCCAAGATCCAAGTGGCCACCTTTGTCCTAGGTACCCCAGGACAGTGATGGCTAGGAAAGGCTGGTAACAAAAAACTCTACTACAACAGCCAGGGGAAGAATTGGCAAAGGATGGAATTTCCTATGTGGAAATTGTTGAACATCCTAAGGACTGGGAAATTTGGCCCTTCACAGCCTCAGAAGGAAGTGATATGAATGCCCATTGCTTTGGGATAAGTTCTTATTCGTTGATTGTCACATCATTTAGGACATGATAGTGACCTGGACTTGCTAGTGTGGTCAGTTCCTGTGCTATATCGAAGTGGAGAACAGGGCACTAAACCAAGTGCCAGCTCTGCCCTGGCCATGCAGAGACAATTCATGTAACAAATACTCCCTGGAACACACCAGACTCTCAGGAGCAACATGGATATGTGCTCACCTTTGCCTAGATCATCTTTTGGGTACCACAAGGTACTGTCAATAGTACTAGAGACTCTGGTCTGCAATGGGAAGGGGTCTGTTTTCAAATGCTGGCAGTTTTAGTTCTGATTGCTTTTTATGTTGTTTTTCATTAAATAAAGTCAGACTTTTCATCAAGTCCTTGTCTAGAGCTCTTTCTCAGAAAACCTTGGTTTGTTTGCCTTGTTCTCTTCTGTGTTTGGACAGATCAATCCAGCAATGCCAGCTTCACCAGTCACAGAGAGTCATGCTGACTGAGAAAGTAAAGCTTCCAGGTTAGTTACCAGGTCTGGGTATTTCCTTTTTTAATACCTGGAAGAGAGAAATCAATGGATGATGTGTCTCTCTCCCTACCCCTGATACTCTGAAAACCAAATGAAAATCTACTGATATTCCATCCAGGCTTATGGAACTTGGAACCCAACAGCGCTACACATACACTGAAGTCCTGATATAACACCAAGTGCCACACACATCTTTGGTTGTATGGAATGTCAGTAAAATGTGCAATTGATATTTCACATCTAAGTGCAGAGATGTTAGTGATGGTACCAGGAACCATCTATCACTGAACATTTATTGAACAATCTGCTCAACATTGCATTGTCGTAGACACTGGGGATAAGACCAAGCACAAAACAGAGAGCTGTGTGAGGTGGAGCTTCCATTCTAGGAAGGAGACATGATAAACTGACAGAAAGTGGGGAAATGAGTGCAGGAAATAAGATACACCAGGAAGGCGGGAGCCTCTGAAACAGGCACTGTCCAGGGGCCCATCCTTCCTCCTCTCATTTGTTTTGCCTGCACACTGAGCTCCGTGACCTGTTTGTGGTCCAGGTCAGGTTTCGTTTCTTTTCTTTCTTTTTTTTTTAATAGGGAATAAAGTTTATTTTGGCAGATAGTGTTAAACAAAGTTAAAGTTGTATGCATCAGTAACATAACTCAACATCCTTATTTTGGTATAAGTGTAACACATTTTCTTGCTTTCCTGTGTTCCGCTCAATCACCATACCTAAACTGCTTTATAAAACTGATAGGCTGAAATTTAACTTTATTGCTTTCACTTACTCTCTGATTCCAAACAAAACTTTTCATAAGCTTCTTCTACCTCTGGGTCCATCTCATCATCAATATCATCCAAGTATGGATCACCAGCCCCCGATAAATCTGTTCCATTTTCTTCATAATCTGGAAAAAAGTCCTCTCTTTCAAGTAACTCTTGATATTTCTCTTGGTAATCTGGATCAGCTGCAGTAAAAGGAACACCATCAGATGTATAAAATGTTGGTTCATTCATAAAGTAGTTAGGATCATTTTCAGGTGTTGCTTCTCTGTATGTTGAAGATGCTTGAACTTTACCCCAGGTACTAGATTGGAGCTCTACAAGTTTCAGGAGCATCTGTTTTACATCTCTCCTGCAGTTTGCATCTAGGACAACATTTTCAATTCTCTGAATAATTTCCTCCATGTCAGTCTTTCCTTTTTCCTTCCATGCATCTTCTAAAACTAACCCTGTCAATTTCAGTAATGTTACTGCACAAATTAAGTTGTCATCCATAGGATTAGAAAAGAGGGCATTCAGCAATTCTCAGAGATCAACCTGAAGAATATCTGCTCTTGTAACCTGTCCGTTTAAGATGAAGTTCTCCCAGAAAGAGTACAAATGCATGAAATCATTTTCGAGTAACTTCATCCCCTTTTGCAGCTTGATCTTTAACTTTGTATTCAGTTTGACATCTTTGAAGTAATAGTTGGTAGAAGTTGCCACTCTGTGGGCTAATTGTCAGATGATGGGACAGGTAATTACACAGGTGAGTTCCCATATAAGAGAAATTTGGGATAGATGTAGTCTGTTGATAGATGAGTTCCACCAGTTCTTGCAAAGCATCATCTGTTACAACCCAGCCATTCAGGGTCTCTGCAAACTGTACAATTTCAGTTTCAAAACTGCCAGGCTGCTCTGTAAGATGATTCAAAAAATCCTGAACATACTCTGATAGAGTGGGATAATCCTCACAACCATCCTCATAGGATTCTGTATAATTGGAAGAATAACTTGATGAGTAAAATTCAGGGGCATTCACGAACAGTTTAGACATTAATACAGGAGCTACAACCACTTGGGGTTTAGCCATTGCTGACTCTAAGTTCTATGGTGAGATTTTATCCTACGAACTAAGTGGAGCTCTCAGGGGCCTTGTTTGCTATGCGGCCCATCGAAACCGACCAACATGCTCCTCCTTTTCCTCCTCCTCCAGGGCTGCTGCCGTTGTGCTCGGGATAGACGGGTGCTCCGCGGGCCGGCTTTAGCCGCTGCACCTCACTCGGGCCTCATGGAGAAGGAGAAGGGCAGCGAGCCCGGGCTTGGCTGCTCCGGAAGGTCCGTGGTTCAGGCGGAGCAGACAGCAGCATGAGCACCCGCCGCTCCCAAGCGCCCGCCCCCCATGGCCACCCTCCACTTTACGATTCTCGCCCCAAACTTGACTCCCGCCTTCGGCGCCCCTGGTCAGATTTCTTGCCAGCGCTATGTGACAACCAAAACCCCTCAATCACACTTCTAATGCTCTAGGTCATCACTGTGTTAACCAAGTTGTAATCATGTGCTTAGACACCATCCTTTCAAAAATAACTTCCAGGAGCGGTGCCTGTGACTCAAAGGAGTAGGGCGCCCGCCCCATAGGCCGGAGGTGGCGGGTTCAAACCCAACTCCGGCCAAAAACTGCAAAAATAAATAAATAAATAAATAACTTCCAGTATTTGCCTATTTCCAAATAATACATATTCATTGTCAAAATGTGGAAAATAGATAAGCAAATAAGAGGATAGTTAACATCACCAGTTATACACCCTCAAGTGCAAACAGTATGGTCTCTGTGTGTCAGTCTTAAGTAGGAAGAATGTTTGCTGGAGAGGTAGGAAAGAGACATCCAGCTGTCCCAGCTCTGTCCTGAGCCTCTTAGAGAATGATCTCAGTGGGGCAGGCGTTATCTCTCCTGGGCCAGTCCAAAACCCAGGTGGGGCCCAGGGTTCCCTGTTGAATTTGAGTCTCTGACACACACATCCCCAGAGGCCCCACGGGCTGTGGAGGTGATAGTCCCTGAGCAGCACAGGGGCAAATGAGTGCTGGGAGTTCTGGAACCCTTCCTAGGATATGGTAGGGGATACAGCCAAGCCTGCATCATCATCAATGTTTTGGTGAACACATCTGCAGATTACCTGATTCTATTTAGGATGACTTTCTAGGCAGGTGGGGATCAAAAGGGGGGTGGAGGAAGCAAAGGGCATGGGTGTCTCCCATGTGGAGAAGCCAAAGATCAGAGAAGAAGGGTGGTCAGGAGGCCCTGCCGCAAGCCCAAATCTCTGAAAACACTGCCCCTGGACAGCCCTCAGCCCTGTCAACCTCTTTGGCCTAAACATCTTAGAAAGGTCTGTGAAGGTAACATCCACTTCCCTCCCTCCACTGCTACATTTTTTCTGAAGACACTTCAAAGTCTGGGTACTTTCAGGCTTGAGGCTACTGAAACATCCCCCAATATCCCAGATTCCTAACCTTGGAATACCCCCGGAGGGGACACATTCTCTCAGACTCCCCCTTTGCCTTCCATACATTACACAGAGATCAAGGAGGTGGGCTAGGTACAAGGCCAAGCCTAGTGTTCAGCAGTAGCTTCCAGGCACCTGTCTGTCCCTAACCATAGGCTGCAGTAACAGGTGTGGTCTATGACCTGGGTGGGCCTCCCTGGGCTCCAGCACATACCAGAGAGGGGTGAGAATGTGGCCACCCGCCTGCCCTCTCCTCTCCCCTCACAGGGAACTGTAACTGATTGGGGGCTTGATGCTTCAGGGTTGAAGGAAATTGAGAGATGGTCCAAAATCCACATTGTTAAAGGTCTGAGCCACACTGGTGTGGAGGAACCCTCCTCTTCGGGCCATGCCTGAAAAGGGAGGGCTGGGCTCCATGGTCATGGAGACCTCTCAGCTACAGACCTTTTTCCTCAAATAAATCGAATGTAAAATACATAAATCTGGGTCAATTTTGTTCTTTGCTCTCATCACTGATGAGAATGTCATCTGCTTAAAAAGACATTTAATACACTGGTCCCAGTGCAGTGGTGTTTACAACTAAAGGATAATAACCAGTTACAGATTCCTTTATTCCTTCTCCACTTCCACTGCTTCACTTGACTAGCCTAAAAAGGGGTGGGGGGAAGGACATTAAATGAAGCTAAGGAACAAATGCCAAGAATTAAACATTCTGGGCAAATCAGACTCGTCGCGCCAGCCTCACCCTCAGCCACTGCTGCCTGCCCTCGAGGGAGCCGGGCTCATCACATCTGTCATCTGAAGGATAGTGCTGTGCACAGTGAATAACACATATAACACATTTTTTGGTTAAAAACAGTTTTAAATATTTATTTCAGTTTACCCTGTTCATTTTGAAGTCAGAGCAAAACGAAAGTTGTATGGATAGTGTGAGCTGGGAGGTTTGGAAGCTTGGGGCTGACAAAGGCCACTTCACTCACTCTTCTCTAGAAGGACCCTGTCTACAGGATGATGCCTGTCCTGTGCTAGAGAGTTGGCAGCCAAAGCACACAGTTGCAGCTGTCAAATCAATCTGAAAATCTCCTGTAATTAGATATCCCCCTCATTGCCCTCATCCCTATCATGAGTGACACCACTCGGGCCACCACCAGGCACACAAGCGGCCCCTAAGGCAACAAGGCCTCCCCTTCTTCTTTGCCCAGTGGCCTAGATTCCAGATCAAAGCAGGGGAGCACTTGGGGGTCGCATCCAAGGGAATGAGCTCTGCTAGTGATGCCAAGCAGAACATGCCCATCCTGGACCATATGCAGAGCCCCTCAAATGTAAGGACCCACCTTCCTACATTCCTGTCATGCTCACAGGGCATTTTGTTTAATAATCCACAACTAAGGGAAACAAGCCACAGAAAGACAAGACATGGGCCAGGCGCAGTGGCTCACACCTGTAATTCTAGCTCTCTGGGAGGCTGAGGTGGGTAGATTAGCTAGCTCATAGGTTTGAGACCAGCCTGAGCAAGAGCAAGACCCCCGTTTTTAAAATTAGCTGAGTGTTGTGGTGGGCACCTATAGTCCCAGCTATTCTGGAGGCTGAGGTGAGAGATTCTCTTGAGCCCAAGAGTTTGAGGTTGCTGTGAGCTATGACTTCATAGCACTCTACCTAGGGTGACAAAAGAAAAAAAAGAGACCAGACTAAACTAACCCATAAATCTAGTGTTGAAAATATTAAGGAAACTGGGGGCTTCCAGATACATAGCACACACACACCTAGGGCAGGTGCCTGGCATCCCTGGGGACCTTGGGACAGGGCCAAGCAGCTCAGAGGGCAGCAGAATCCATTTCCAGGCTGGAGACACAGGTGCTAACTTACTGTTTGCCTATAGCACCCCCTGGTGGTCACTTCAAGACTTGTAAACGCTCACACTTCTGTACCCCCATCAGCCCAGCCAGCAAAGGAGCCCCAGTTGTCCCAGTCCCTGGACTGGCTCCCAGGAAGAGCCAAGAATCAATGGCCAGTCCTTCAAAAGTTCCTGAGACTCCCAGATCTCAAGTATGCTCTGCAATTAGTTTTTTGATCTGTGAAGTAAGGATGCTGGGTGGCTCTGGTGTCCAGAGTCCAGGCAAAGAGCCTGGTAGGGGACTGAGGCCAGGCCAGGGTCAGGTCTGAGCTGCCCCAGCAAGCATGCTCCCTCCCTAGTCCAGCCCCACCACACACCCCAGCCCTGGAAGCCCACTACTTGCGTGCACCTGCATGTTAGACAGAGAGCATGCACACACGAGTGTGCACGGATGAGTGAGGGTGTACACAAGTGGTGTAGGCACGTTCAAGTGTGTGCATGTGGGCACCTGCTGACAGGAGCCACCTCCTAGCTCCTTGGAGCAGGTCCTGGGCTTTCAGGTGCAGGCCAGGCAAAGTTGTTGCTCTGCACATACCTGGTAAATTAAAGCAACCTGGGACCTTGAGGGGTGGAGCAGCTGGCCCACAGAGTGCAAGGACCCAAAACAAGTATTGTCTGAGGCCATATTTGGGACCTGATAACAGGGGACATTCTAGTTTCTGCTAGCCTATGTTTCCACAGTTTCTAAAATGTACCTGAACTACTACTGTGCAGATAAGAAGGCCAAAACCTGCAACAGCCTGTGACCACAGTACAGGCCTGGCCCAGTGTCTTCACTGCTGGGACCCTCACCACCCCATTTCACTGTCCTTACCCCACTCTCATTTCTCCTTTCCAGGGGTACTCACTGCCCTACCCACACCCCCAGCTGCCCCAGGCCATGTTCATGACCCCCAGTCTCAACCACCTGCTGTACCCATGGTCCCTCTGCCAACTTCACCCCTCACCCCACCCCACTACTCATTTAATTCATACAGAAAATAGAAGCGGCTTGGCGCCTGTGGCTCAAGCGGCTAAGGCGCCAGCCACATACACCGAAGGTGGCGGGTTCGAATCCCCAGCCCGGGCCCACCAAACAACAATGACGGCTGCAACCAAAAAATGGCCAGGCATTGTGGCGGGCACCTGTGGTCCCAGCTACTTGGGAGGCTGAGGCAGGAGACTCGCTTGAGCCCAGGAGTTGGAGGTTGCTATGAGCTGTGATGCCATAGCACTCTACCCAGGGGGATAGCTTGAGACTCTGTCTCAAAAAAAAAAAAAAAAGAAAAGAAAAGAAAAGAAAAGAAAGGAAAAGAAAATAGAAGCTACCAGCAAGTACTTCCTATCCCCTCCTAGTGGCCAATAACTACCCTGCTCCTTTCCAGGCCCCTATGCATTGCCCAGGCAAGGCTGTGATCCCTCCAGCCCTAAAACCCCACTGCCCACCCCCTTTCCTTTCCTGCAAAACTGTTTAGGACCCTCTGCCACCCTCTCCCAGCCCTCCCACTCCAACACACCTGGTTCTGACCCACTAAGGTCACCTGGAGCTGGGGGTTCCTTTGCTCCCTCCCCACAAGTGGAAGGGTCTTTGATCTGGCCCCTAGGGGGGTACAAGGAGCCCTTCCTACACTCCAGGTATGGGGTGTGGGGAAGGAATAGGGGGCTTCTTCAGGTCTGGCCCCTAACCTGCCACTCTTCCCCGCAGTGCAACCTGCACCCCTCCCAATTCTCCTG